TGGGGTCCCACCTCAGCCCCCACCCAGGGAGCCACTTCTCCAGCAGCTCAGGGAAGAGCCTGCAGGGGCCAGCCAACAGGCCAGGCCAGACTCAGTGGTTATCACCAGAGGCAGGGCTGCCGGAAGGCACAGGATCTTTCCCCAGTTCTGGGTGTCTCACTTGGGGACAAGTCTTTCCTGTTTGATAGGCCTCAGTTTCCTCATCTGGACAGTGGGTGAAGTGTCAGGGTGGCTTCCAGGCCCTGTGCTTGGCGAGTCTGGGGAGGGAGGAAGAGGCGGGTCTGTGGCTGCTTTGTCTGAGTGTTTAGCGCAGCGCCTCACACTCCGCACTTCCTCTTGAACAGGAGGAGGGTGTTGGAAGGGTAGAGAGACAGAAGTGTGGGACAGACTCGGTGTCACACACCTGGCAAGGGATGGGTCTGGCCCTGGACTGGCCCTGAGGAACACCCTGGGAGCCATCGCCCACCTGTCTGATTGTGAGGATTGGGTGTGGCGTGGGCGTAAGGAGAGTGGAGAAAGCATGTTACGTGGAGGTGGGGACTGTCTGGCGCTAGCATGGTGGCTGGGGTCGCCCTCCGGGGTCAGGGGCCTCCCAGGACACAGCAAGGGTCCGGGCATCTCACGACCTTTCCCCTGGTGCTGTGCTGAGGAGCTCAGGTGTGGCAGTAGCAAGGACAATGATGTCCCGTGCCGTCTTCGGGTGACCTGAGCCGCTCTGAGCTGTGGTTCCGAAGCTTCGTGGGATGTTTTGAGACCCTAGAGATGATGGGGCAGCTTTAGGAACAGAAAGGCCCTGGCTCATCCACCTCCATTTTCAGGCCTGGGTTCAAATTCTGCCTCTGCCTCTGAGCTGCTGTTTTCTCCGTTGTGAATGGGGAGCACCCCACTGAGAGGGTGCTCAGTGCACTGCTTTATTCTGGGTGTGGTGCAGCCTCGGGCTTGCCAATTCTGGGGCGATGGGGGGGGGGCAGCAGGCACTACTGTGAGGGATAAACTGCCTGTGACCAATAGGCTTCTCCTTCTCAGCCTTTATCACAAGGCGACTGGCAGGACCTCTGGCACGTAGTAGGTGCTTTGTCTGTATTCCCTAGCATATAACAGGTGCTTTATATTTCTGCTGGTCAGTAGTCCCCAAGTGGACAAAGATGGTGTATGTCCTGTTCTGCATACTCTATACACAGACCAGAGCCAGGTATACAGCAGGTGCTGCATGAATGCTCGGGAATGAGCAAGAATGAATGAATGACCTAGTCCCAAGTGCTCCGGCCTTCTGCCGAGCTCTGGGGCGGGGGAGGGGAGCTTCAAATCGCCCCTCCCTCTTCTTCCCTCCTTGACTAATCTGACAAGATTAGCCCAGTAACAGAACCAGGTCATTGTGGTGACCCAGGGCTTGGAAGCCCCGTGTCTCAGTCTCAGTCCGAGGCGACTGTGGCTGCCGCTCCCCAGAGTTCCTTGCTCCAAGATGACCCTCCTGTCACCCATCGTGGACATGGTCCTCACAACGGTCGGCAGTCTCCTCCTGTTCACCATAGCTCTGGCCTTGCTGTGTTTTTTTACCTGCCGCCTGGCCAGGCCACTCAGGTAGGGGACGCACCCTGGAATGACCTCACCACTAATGAGTGTCCTGCCCCAAGTCTGTGTCCTGCCCCAAGTCTGTGTCCTTGGGGGGAAACTGAGGCCAGGAGAGGGTGAACCTTAGGCTCAGTGTGGTCCGAATCCCATGCAGATGTAGCTAATAGATGCTGGGCTGGGGGAAGGGGCCCATGGTTACCCTTGGCACTGGGACCCTCCAGCCTGCCCATTCTAGTCTTTGCCCTGGCTTTTGAGATCAGATTCTGACCAGTGCTCCAGGACACAGACGAGTCCTTAAGGCCCAGGCCTGGTCCCCGGACCCCATCTGCTGACCCGCTGAGTCCGCCACTCCCTCTCCTGGGGCTGGAGCCCTGCAAGGGCTTCTGCACTCCGGTCATAAGTAAGCAGGGCACATAGCTGCGAGCCTGGCAGAGAGGGTCCGGCTGGGAAGTAGGGGGGGTGGCTCATGGGGGCTAGCTCACACCCGGAGGCCCCATTCCAAGCTGCTAGAGTGCTGGGCAAGGGCGGTGGGCAGCCGGGGCCCTTGCAGCCCCAGACTGGGCCCCTGCAGAGGGAAAGTCTGGTGTGAGAGGCAGGGGGGCTGGGCTCAGCGTCTGAAGGCCTCTCAATCCCCACCCCCTCCTTCCTGGGCCGAGGCAATGGACAAAAGGCACCTGTCTCTAGGCCAACCCCATCTCAATGCAGGGCCCTGGGGCCAAAATTCACAGCATCTGCGCCATTATCCCTGACTGAATTTAGCCATGAGGAAGGGGGCTGACTCTAAGGCAGCGTGTGTGATGCTCAGGTCCTGTAGGGGCTACTGGGTCCCCAGAGTTGTACCAGCAACACTCCATCAATGGTGAATGGACACTGAGTTACTCCACCACCTCTCCAACCTTTGGATTTAATGACACAGGAAAGATTTGGGGATAATTTTTCCCTTTCCCCAAGTTTCCTCTAGACACTGACTTCCAGCTGATGTAAATATTTATGATGCCAAGCACCTTCAGATAAGCCCGACAAAGTCTCCGGCCTGAGATGGCCCCAGTAGTGTGGCTGGGGTAGACCAGGAAAGAATTATTTTGAAAACAGGAAAGAGCCGTCTTAGAGGCTGCCTAGAAGAGACGGCTTTGATTTTGAAAACGATTATATATAATCATTCTTCCTGTATTGATATTTTTATAGCAGTTTCATGAATTTTTCTGCCCTTTAGAATTTCTAATAGAATGATCTGGCAACAAAAGTGGAATACAAAGTTTGGAAATCAGGTCAGGGGCTGGTGACTCACACCTGTAATCCTAGCTGAGATCTGAGGATCCATGGTTCAAAGCCAGCCTGGGCAGAAAAGGCACGGGAGACTCTTTCTCTGCAATGAACCACCAAAGAGCCAGAAAGAGCTGTGGTTCAAGGGGGAGAGTGCCAGACTTGAGTGAAGAAGCTAAGGGACAGTACTCAGGCTCTGAGTTCTAATCCCAGTGATGGCATTCACACACACAGAATTTGTGAATCATCTGACAGCCCAGAATTCAGAGTTGAACACAGTTACATGGTAGGCAGGAAGCCCTCAGCTCCATCGGTGCCCCCTATCTCAGATGGAATCAAGATCCCATCTTTCTGATCTTTTCCATCTCCTACCACGAACGGAATCATCATTCCTATTTTGGTTTTGGCTGAAGAAATCATGTCTAGGGGCTGGGAAGGTGGCTCAGTGGTAGAGCGCTTGCCTTGCATGCCTGAGGCCCTGGGTTCGATTCCTCAGCACCACATAAGCAAAAAAAAAAAGCCAGAAGTGGCGCTCTGGCTCAAGTGGTAGAGCGCTAGCCTTGAGCTGAAGAGCTGAGGGACAGCACCCAGGCCCAGAGTTCAGGCCCCACGACCGGACCAAAAAAAAAAAAAAGAAAAGAAAAGAAATCATGTCTATTTCCCAGTGAACTCTTGCTCATGACCCAGCTGCCAGTGGCCCCGTCCGTGTGACAGCCCCACACAGCATGACCACAGTGTGCAAACATTCTTAACACGCTTATTGTAGGCAAGTTGGAAAGGTGTTTTGGGGTTTTGTTTTTTTTTCCAAAAACATTCTTAAAGAGGAAATAATCACAACTTTACCACCCAAAGCCTCAGTTCACATTTGATGTGTTTCTTTTGGTCTTTTTTGCAAAAGGAAAATATTTTCTTTAAAAAAATTATAAAGGTGTGCTGTGGAGGGAGGGGGAAGAAAATAGCAACAGAGAGGGTTGTTCTGAGCAAAACATAATATATGCACATCTGAAATACCATAGTGAAATCCTTGGTAGAATGGGTGCACACTAAAAATAAAAATGTTTTTAAAATGTGGGCTGGGGCAAAGCTGAGTGGTAGTCCATTTGCCTGGTATGTGTGAGGATTTGTGTTAAATCTCCAGCACTGGGAGGCAAAAATAGGCAGACTCTTTTAACAGATGCAGCTCCAAAGATGGTTTATAGATGAGGAATAAGCACATGAAAAGATGTTTGACATCCGTAGTCTGCTGGGAAATTGTAGGGCTGAAGTGACATCTCAGTGGTAGAGCACTTACCTGGCTTGAGGCCTGAGTTGAATCCCTAGCAGCGCACGCACACACACACACACACACACACACACACACACACTCACACACACACACACACAAACACATACCTTGACCCACCAACCTTCCATATAAATAACTCCTATTGCTTTTATAATTTTTCCCAGCATTTGAACTCAGGGTCCCACATTCTCATTTGGCTTTTTCCACTCAAGGCTGGTGCTCTAACACTTGAGACACACCTCTGCTTCCAGCTTTTTGGTGATTCATTGGAGTTTTTTTTTTTTTTTTTGGATCTCATGCATTTTCCTGCCGGGATTGTCTTCAAACCATGATCTTCAGGTCTCAGCTTCCTGAGTAGCTAGAAGCCATCAGCTCCCTGTACTTTTGGTCCTCTTACCAAAAAAGGACAAGTTCTAGAAGATAATGAAGCAAGCATAGATGTCTGAATGAAGAGGCTGAAGACTAGTGTTCTAGAACAGCCTCTGAGGGATGGTTCCAGAGCCAACAGCATTTCTATTTTCTGGGACCTCCCAGAACTCCAGGCAGAGCCAGGGCTGGCCTAACACACCATCCATGAAAGATCATCTGTCACTCAGCCACAGTTGGGAATTCTTGCACAGAGAGCCTGCCTCCTTGGGGTGGGTTAAAAGTGGGAGCTCCCCGCAACACGGGGTGACATTTCTTTGCAGCATGGAACTCGTTTCTACTGAACTGATTGTGTTTCCAGCAAGAAGGCCCATTCACCCTAGCTCTGGCCACCCAGTCCCATATTGGTACTTGTTGAGTGACTCAAGAAATAAGTAACCCAAAGGAAGAAACAAACATCAGAGCTGGGCCCCATATGAATTTCTTCTTTTTTCTTCTTCTATTTCTGATTTCTAGGATTGGAACATCAGCTAACGGCTGATCGCTGGCAGCCGGCTCGCCTCCGCCCACCCACGTCCATCCAATCCCTGAGGCCCAGAGCGGAAGCAGGCCTGCGGGTGTGCCATGATTTCACCATTCTTAGTACTGGCCATTGGCACCTGCCTTACCAACTCCCTAGTGCCAGGTAGGGTTGGGATGGGCACTGGGGATGGATGGGATGGGATGGGATGAGGGCGTGGTGTGTGTGTTAAGGTTTTCAGAGCTGGGAATCTCCACCTGGCTGCACATGCTGGTGTTGGGCTAGGTGCTCCCAGTGTCTCAGCATCTCTTGTGATGGCTGTTGCTTCTTCTACATCTTACGAAGTCCCCGCTGCCTGTGGCATGTGTTTCTGCTTGTGAGCTCATTTGCAGTGGGAGGTGATTTCTGTGGGAGTTTGGGGCCTTTGTCTATGCATGTATGCCAATCCTGGGGCTTGAACTCAGAGCCTGGGTGTTATCCTGGAGCTTTTATTTGTTCAAGGCTAGCGCTCTACCAACTTGAGCCACAGCTTCACTTCTGGCTTTTTTTTTTTTTTTTGAGATAAGTCTCATCGACTGTCCTGTTCCAGCTGGCTTTGAAATGTGATCCTCAGATCTTAGCCTCCTGAGTAGCCAGGACTATAGGCATGAGCCACCAGTGCCGGCCGGGCGACACTAACTTTAGACTGCTATTTCTTTCTCAGTCTGCGGTTCTTAGGTTATTTGCTCACTTCCCCGAGGAGGCCTGACTCAGACCTGGAGGTGGTTCTCCTTTCTTGTGCAGAGCTCTCTGTCCCACTCCAGAGTCATCGTCTGGCTTTCCCCTGTGTGCTCTGGTCCCCAAGCTTCCTGGCGGTAGCCCTGAACAACCCCTCTGCCTTTGAGTTGCTTCTTCAACCATGGGTCCTGGGGTCTCCCTCCCCTCTCTTCTTCCTCTTTGAAGTTATTTAGCCTTTTCCAGCATGTCTGCTGATCTAGCCTGCCTTCACTGGGTCCATCTTACCGTAGGAAGTCCCACATGCCCTCCCTGAGCCTCAGTTTCTCCATCTGTGCGGTGGAGATGATCCTCCTCCTTGGGGCTGGTGTAGAGACCCCCTGATGCAGGTCCTTACCACCCCCACTGGCTGAAAGGTGAGCTGCTGGATTAAAAAGGAAAAGCCAGGAGCCGTGGATCAGGCCCATAATCCTAGCTACTCAGGAGGCTGAGATCTGAGGGTCCTGGTTCAAAGCCAGCCAAGGCAGCAAAGTCTGTGAGATTCTTAGCTCCAGTTAACTACCAAAAAGCCAGAAGTGGAGCTGTGGCTCAAGTGGTAGAGCACAGCCTTAAGAAAAAAGAAAAACCTCAAAGACAGTGCCCCAGACCCTGAGTTCAAGCGAGCTGTCCCTGAGCTCAAGTCCCAGGTCCAGCACAATACAACAAAACAGGGAAAAGATGAAAAAGGAACCAATGAACACTTCAACTGTTTAGCCATCCGAGGTTCGTGTCTGTGTCATTGTAGCCATCCTGATGGCTTTGTAGTGGGATTGCTTTCTTTTTTAAAGTAATTAGAATGTGCAGTAGAGTCCTTTTTTGTTGTTGTTATTGTTTTACTGGGGTTTGAACTCAGGATCTCATGCTCTTGTCTGGCTTTTTCATTCAAGGGTGGCACTCTAGCACTTGAGCCCCCCCTCTACTTCCAGCTTCTGGCTAGTTTTAAAAAAAAATGGAGATAAGAGTCTCATGGACCTCCCTGCCTGCGTCAGCTTTGAACTACAATCCTCAGATGTCAGTTTCCTGAGTAACTAGGATGACAGGCGTGAGCCATCAGTGCTTGGCGCTTATATTAAATTGGATGCAATAAAAAAAAAAAAAAACTCAAGGCATGACTTGCTTTGCAGCCCTGCTCTTCGTAAGAAGCTGGGTTCGCACTGACCTTACCATCGTAAACAAGCCAGCAAAGTTTATAATTAATGGCAGTGTAGATCTTGGGACTCCTGCAGGTGATTACTCTCCTAATTCTGCTGGCAGTCACCCCCATGAGACGCCTCTGGACTGAGTGAAAGAAAAGCATGGGCTCGGGAGGGAAGCCCCGCTCTGTGCCAGTGTCTGCCACTGCTGTGTGGCCTTCACAGACTCACTTAGTATCTCTGAACCTTCATTCTACAACTTGAGCAGAGGATGCCCGGGGTCCCACAGGCTTGTTTGGAAGATCTGCCTGGCCTGCGTGGAGGGGCGGCGACGGCCCCTTCCTCCGAGTTGGACACCCCCACCCCTAGCAGTGAGGTGTTGAGGTATCTGTAAATCTGGAGGTGCTTCTTCAAACCGCTGCTTCTCTCTGTACAGAGAAAGAGAAAGACCCCAACTACTGGCGAGAACAAGCTCAGCAGACCCTGAAAAATGCCCTGGTGCTTCAGAACCTCAACACCAACGTGGCCAAGAACGTCATCATGTTCTTGGGAGATGGTGAGGCCTGTGTGGAGGAGGCCGGGCTCGAGGCTAAGAAGGGGGGCTGGACTGTGAACCCCAAGGGGCCTGGGAAGAAAGGGACAGAGGGGACCCCCAAGGGACATTACAGAGCCATCTGCTGCCATGAGCCTGCCCGCTCTGGCACCAAACCAGCGTGCTCTGCTTGCACGAGAAAGTTAGGGCTGAGGAGGCACAAGCCTCCACTCACGCTCCTCCCTCCCCTGTGCCCTGTGCAGGGATGGGCGTCTCCACGGTGACGGCCGCCCGCATCCTCAAGGGTCAGCTCCACCACAGGACCGGGGAGGAGACGCGCCTGGAGATGGACAAGTTTCCCTTCGTGGCGCTCTCCAAGGTGAGTCCAGCCCCGAGCCACCTTCCCTGGCCGCCTGGAAGGAAGGGATCTGCAGAGCTCCCGTCCGGGGGTGGGGTTGTGAACGAAGAAGACAGATTTGAAGATTTGAAAGCACTGATTTAGGGGTTGGGGGAGTGGCTTAGTTGGTAGAGTGCCAGCCAGTGAGTGAATGCAGTGGCAGGTACTGAGTTCGAGTTCTGAAAAAGAAAAAGACTCATTGAGTTAGGAACTGTGTGTGCGCGTGTGTACATGTGTGTGTATGTGTGTGTGTATGTGTGCATGTGTACATGTACGTGTACGTGTGTGTGTGTGTGTGTGTGTGTGTGTGTGTGTGTGCTGGTACTGGGGCTTTACTCAGGGCCTGGGAGCTGTCCCTTAGATTTTCTTTTTTTTTGTATTTTTAAAAAAATTTTTATTTTTATTGTGAAAATACTGTACAGAGGGGTTACAATTACATGGGCAAGATAATGAGTACATTTCTTATCAAGCATTGTAGCCTCCTCCTTTGTTTCCCCTTCCCATCCCTTCCCATCCTGCCCCCGTCTGTCCCTTAGATTTTCTAGTCAAGGGTGAGTGCTCCAGCCACTTGAGTCACAGTTCCCTTTCCAGTGTTTCGGTGGTTAATTGGACATAAGAGTCTCACAGTGTTTTCCTGCCTGGGTTGGCTTGGAACTGTGATTCTCAGATCTCAGCCTCCTGAGGGGCTAGGATGATAGACATGAACTGAAGAATAACCTAGGAATTGTGCATACAAGGCAGCCTGGCATGCGTGTGAACTTGACAGCTCCCAGAAGCCTCCAGCGCCTTCCAGCACCACCCCTGCCCATCACCAGTTAGCTGCCCTATATTCTCCATCCACAAACACAGGCTGATTGGTTTATTCCTTCTCCTGGGGCCAGGTGGTCAGATCACAGGGTGAGTCAGATGACTGATAGAAATTTTCAGCCTTAGGTGCCCTAGGGACAGTTATTGTGATGGGGGTGGGTGGATAATTGAGCTCCTTCCAGACACTGGTCAGTCCCCGGACCCCCTTTCTAGGGGACAAGCAGGGACTGCAAGGTCCCTGTCCTTTCAGAGCTCTGAGCTGTTGGAGAAGGGACACAGGCAGAGTTTTGGGATCTCAGTGGGAGGTCTGTGCATAGTAGGGACAGCTCTTAATCCTCCTCAGCCTTCCCAGCTTCCTCCCTACCTCCAACTTCCACTCCTCTAAGAAACCCCTTCCTCTTCTCCAGGATCCACCTGCTGCCCTGCAGACCCGGAGCAAGGCCTGGTCCCCACTCCTCTGCCCCACACTTCTCCATGTGGGGGTTGGGGGGCAGCGGTGCCTGTCTCTGTAGGAAGCAAGCAGCTCAGCCGGGTGACATTGAGGCTGCAGGAGAGGAACCTCAAACCCCTCACTTCTGTGGTGGGAATGTGGAGGCCCAGGCTGCCGCCCTCCTGACCCTCCCTCCCACTCCTCCTCCCTGCAGACCTACAACACCAACGCCCAGGTCCCTGACAGTGCGGGCACTGCCACTGCCTACTTGTGTGGAGTGAAAGCCAACGAAGGCACCGTGGGGGTGAGCGCGGCCACGGAGCGCGGGCGGTGCAACACCACGCAGGGGAACGAGGTCACCTCCATCCTGCGCTGGGCCAGGGATGCCGGTGAGGGCCAGGGGCCTGCACCTGGCCAGGTGTCCGTCTTCACACCTGTGCCAGGAGGAGAGGGTGGGGAGCCAGGCTGTGATGTTGCCCTGCTTGGTGTGGTCCTGGCTCTGTTGCTAGGTCTGTTCATTTGGCTGTAGAACAGGTTTGGAACATGTGGCCTCTGTAGATTGGGTGGGGGGAGCAAAGCAGCCAGGCAGGGCTGGTAAGTGGCTGCCTCTTCCTCTTCCTCTTCTTCTTCTTCTTCCTCTTGGGAATGGAGAGGACCATCCATACCCCAGGGACTTTAGAGTCAGGGGATATAGCCAGCTGACACAGGTGACAGATCCCTCCTCTACTTGAGGCCTCCCTTTGGAAAGACCTGAAGTCTTACAGCAGAAGTAGATCCAGTGATGGGAGGAAAGACTTCAGCCTGAGTGATCACGGCCCACCACAGAGCAACCCACTGCACCCTCCTTGGTGCACAGGGGGAGACAATGCCCTCTGCAGCAGGGAGGGGACGGCAAGGTGGCGGGGAAGCCCCCAACCAGCTGGCACTCACTTCTCCTGTCCCGCCCCTCAGGGAAGTCGGTGGGCATCGTGACCACCACACGAGTGAACCACGCCACCCCCAGCGCTGCCTACGCGCACTCGGCCGACCGGGACTGGTACTCGGACAATGAGATGCCCCCAGAGGCCCTGAGACAGGGCTGCAAGGACATCGCCTACCAGCTCATGCACAACATCAAGGACATCACCGTGAGTGGCACTGCGCAGACAGGGCAAGGCTGGGAAGACTGGTGGGGGACAGGAGGCCTCTAGTCCAGACTAGCCCTGCCTCCCCACGTGCCCGGGATGGCTCTCAGCCTGGGCTGAGATGGCTGCGGCCTGGGCAGGCAAGCAGGCACTTAGGATTTCTCTGCAGTGGGGCTGCAGGGTGAACTCTTATGTGATCACCACCACAGAGATTATTCCATACATTAGAACCTGGAATTGCATTGACCACCCCCACGCCCCCCCCCCAAGCACAGGGAGGTATGGGTAGCACTGTGGCTAAGGGGACAGCCCATCCTGCCCACTACACCTGCCTGTACTGACCACTCATATACCCAGAGAAGACGCGTGAATACATCCTGTAGGCTCTTGTGGTGTTTTGTTTTGTGCCGATACTGGGACTTGAACTCAGGGGCACCGTCTCTTAGCTTTTTCACTCAAGGCTGATGTTCTGTCCTGGAGCCAAAGCTCTACTTCTCACTTTGTGCTGGCTAATTGGAGATAGGAGTCTCAAGTGGGTTTTGTTTGTTTGGTTGATTGATTTTTGTTTGTTTCTGACCTAGCTGGCTTCTAACTGGGATCCTCAGATCTCAGCCTCCCAAGTAGCTAGGATTACAGGTGTGAGCTACCAGTGCCCAGCCCAGATTCTCATATTTAAACTTCCTGAAATCCCATCTTGGCCCTACTTCTTATGTGATCTTGGGTCCATTATTACCATCTCTGAGCCATCTTGTGCAACCCCTCTGCCACTTGGATCTAGCCCCTAAGCTCCTTGCAAGAACTGAGTCAATTGGTTCCTCTCCAATGTGGCCCAGGGTGTGATGCCCATAGGGGCTCAGAAAGTGTGTGAGGCCACAGCATGCCCCAGAGCACATACCTGTACATAGTGAGCCGCCTCCTCTGTCTTCTTTTGGGGTGGGGGTCGGTCATGGGGCCTGAACTCTGGGCCTGGGCGCTGTCCCTCAGCTCTTCAGCTCAAGGCTAGTACTCTACCACTTGAGCCACAGCGCCACTTCCAGCCTTTTCTGCTTTTGTGGTGCTGAGGAATCGCACCCAGGGCCTCATGTATACAAGGCAAGCACTCTACCACGGAGCCACCTTCCCAGCTTCCACCCCCCCATCTTTAAGTGAGCCTTTCCAGCTTGTTCCTTTTCTGGCTTCTTACATACTATAGGAGACTGATGAGAAGGTCGAGACATGGGCTCCCTGAGCCTGGAATTGGGGTTCATTGACACAGCCCCAGGCCCAGGTCTCCTCACCTTGGTCTCCACTTTCCACCAAAGAAACACCTGCCCTCTCATCTTCCATCCTCCCTCGCTGGGGATTGTGGGCACCACCTGGCCATCCGCCAGGCCGTGCCACCTTTCCCAGATGGTGGATAAAGCACCTTTCAGGACCAACGGTCCTACCACCCTTTGTAATTGGCAGATACCAGGGACAAAGCCACCCCCAGGTGGCTCCATGGAGCCTCCCGGAGCCTCAGGTCCCCACCTGCCGCTCCCTGCCTGCTGGAGACCAACATGAGGTCATGGGCACAGGAACCGGATTGCTCAGCATGGGGGTCATTATGGTGGCTCTTGGGAGAGTTTGGGTAGGGACACTGAGAGGGGGGCCAGTAGTTAAGGAAAAACTGAGCAGAGAGGGGACTGAAGGTTGGGGGGAGGGTGTCCACAGGCAGTGAGGGGCAGTGGCGGATGAAAGGATCCCTGTGGGACCCCTTCCCTCCCATGTCCCTCTTTTTTTCTGCCAACCCCATCCACCCCTCCATCACCAACACCCAAAAAAGCCCCTCACTCAGACTGTACATGGAACAAAAATATCCTGGTATCCACCCTGAAAACAAATATCTTCTGCTAGAGAGGGGGGGAGGGAGAGAGAGGGAGAGAGAGAGAAATCCAAACCTCAAATCCAAAAACTGCAAGTCTGTTATTTGCGAGTTTAATGAACCCGTGTGAAGTCTGCCGGGGCTGGCAACCGAGAGGCTCCGTGGAGAAGATTGGGGGCTTCATTTTCCACTCTAAAAATGCCAAGGGTCAAATTCTGTGGGAACAGAGACTGGGGGGCAGGGACCTGTGACTTGGAGTCTTCTTCTGAGCTTCTGGCTCAGAAGGGGAAGGGCGGGTGGTGTGAGGCCTTCGCCTCCTGGAACTCATCCATCCTCATTCATCCTGCTAGGAAAGCCACCTGCCTACCAGCCATGGCTACCCTGGACAGCTGCCTTTCCTCTCTGACAGGCCCAAGGGCTGTGGCTCCCATTTTATAAAGAAACCAGTCAAGCCCCATGCCTAGTGGCTTACGCCTGTAATCCTAGCTACTCAGGAGGGTGAGATCTGAGGATCACGGTTCAAAACCAACTTAAGCAAGAAAGTCCAAGAAACTTTTCTCCAATTAACCAGAAACAAGCCAGAAGTGAAGCTGGTACTCAAGTGCTACAGCACTAGCCCTGAGCAAAAACAAAAACAAAAAGCTAAGAGACAGAGCCCAGGCCTTGAGCTCAAGCCCTAGTACCGGCATGAAAGAGAGAGTGGGGGTGGGGTGAGAGCAGTCGAAGTGAACCCAAGGTTAACTCCGAAGCCCACAGCCTTTCTGGGGCCTTATGCCACCCTGGCTACTTTGTTTGTGTGCACTGCCAATCCAGACACCCTGGGAACCTGGTTCTGAAGTAGAGAACGGAGTGAAGGTGGAGGAGAAGCCTAAGAGGCGTCAGGCCTGGGAATGGTGGATCCCAGGTGGCGGCCAGGGCCAGCAGCCTGGGCTGGCACCCTCGGTGACAGGAGGACACCGGTGTGGTGGTCACCACGGGCGGTGGCTGTGAAGCTCTTGGCCCCTGTTTTAAAAATAGTCAAGACTTCAAACATGGACTCCCAAGGAAAACAAACAGTCCCGCGTCCGTCTGCCCGCACATGGCAGCCATGGCAGGTAAAATTAGCCTGGCGGTAACTACACAAGACAGGAGGCTGGCCTATGTTTGCCCAGTGATGGGCTGGCGACACCCTCCTGGCCAGGGCCTCTCCTCACCACCCTCTGCCACTCACTGAGGGACAGGAGCCTCCTGGAGACCCATCCTTGACCCAGGGGGTGTAGTTAGAGAAGCCCTGGGTTCCAATCCTGCCCCTACCACTTACTGGCTATGTAGCCTTGGGGAAAAGAAACTCTATCTCTGTTCATTTCTTCATTGGGACAATACCAACAGATTCCTTGGCAGTCATGGTAGGATGTTGGGTAGGATTCTGTGCCTCTGGGGCTCAGTGCTTGGCACCCAGGGAAGGCTCTTGTCAGTGCCCTTCTCTAGATGGAGGAGACAGTTGAGGTAAGTGGCATGCCACTCAGAGTCACAAACTGCGTCTCCCCAGCTCCTCGAGAGTTGCTGGGCCCAGCAGGGATCCCAGCACCGCCCGGGGCCACTGGGGCTTCTGCATGCCTTGAGACCCTGGGTGAAATGGCTTCTGTCTCCCTTAGGTGATCATGGGGGGTGGCCGGAAGTATATGTACCCTAAGAACAAAACCGACGTGGAATATCAGGTGGACGAGAAGGCCAGGGGCACGAGGCTGGATGGCTTGGACCTCGTTGACATTTGGAAGAGCCTCAAACCCAAATACAAGGTACTCCATGCGGGACGGGTATCTGCAGAGGGCAGAGTGGGCTGGGGGACCCCATGTATCCAGGCTCTGACATCTTGGAGAGGCCTCTGGCCCTTTAAATCCACTCTGCAGGCTAGCCTGGGGCAGCTGGGTCTAGAAATGACTGTGGTCAGGCTGAGGGCAGTGGGGAGCAGCCTGGCAGCTGCTTTGATGTCACTGTGGGGTTGGGTTTCTCAGGGTTCCAGGGTTCCTCCCTGGGGAAGCTTTGTGGGATGAGGCTGGGCCCAGAATGAAGTGGGGGCCATGGGAGGGAGCAGCTGCATGCCCTTGCCCTTCCTTCTAGACAGAGCCCTTTCTAGATCTAAGCCAGAGAGCTACCTCTCCTCCCAGCCTCAGTTTCTCCACATGAAACAAGGGGTCCAGAGATTTATCCTTCTTGCCCTGAAGTTCCATCTAGACTCCCAAGTTAGAGAGGGAACCCATGCCACGTGGTGTCATGGTGGCCTGTCCGCTGTAGGCCCCATTCCTGGAAACCCATGTTTCAAGAGCAGCTTGTAGCCGAGCATCAGTGGCTCACACCTGTAATCCTAGGAGGCTGAGAGCTGAGGTTTGTATGCCAGCCTGGGCATACAAATCTAAAAGATTCTTGCCTCCAATGAATCAGCAAGAAGCCAGGATAAAGTTGTGGCTTAAGTGGTAGAATACCAGCCTTGCAGGAGAAAGCTAAGGGACAGGGCCCTGGCCCTGAGTTCAAGCCCCAGTAAGTGGGGGGGGGGGCGGTGCAGAGCTAGGGATCTGTTTTCTTTAGGCTCTCCACAGCCCCAGACACACTCCTTGTACCTGTCCATAGACATTTAAGGGCTCTGTGACCTGTGCTGCTGCTGCTTTGCTGCCCTCAGGGAGGTCAGACTCCTTCCCTCCTGACCCCAGGCCCATCAACTCCAACTTGGCTTCCATGGCAGAACACCACCTCCAGCAGGAAGCCCTCTAGACAGTTCTCTGGGCTCAAGTCCTCCTGGGCCTGCCCTCTGGCTCCTGGGTTCTTCCAGTCTCCTCCTCAGCCTGAATTAGAAATGATAACTGCCTACTTATTTGTCATTTCTTCAGGTCCGGGATGGTGGGCCTGTGGGCTGGGGGTTAAATGATAGAAGATAGTGAGATGGCGGGCCCTGGGAGGGGGCTGGGATGTCCCTCCGCCTTCCCAGCCCTCACTTGCTGATGCAGGCCCCTCCCTCCTAGCATGCCCGTTACATTTGGAACCGCACGGACCTCCTGACCCTTGACCCCTCCACTGTGGACTATCTCTTGGGTAAGTGGGAAGGGTTGGAACACCGTGGAGGGAATGAACCAGCCCCAGCGTTAGGGGTCTTTGCTCCCAGTTTCCAGACCCTGGGAGGGGTTCTGGTCCATGGAATGAGGCCTAAAACCTGTTGGCTGTGCCGAAAGAGGGGCCCCACTGAGCTCGGGGAGAAACTGAGGCTCAGAGAGGGGAATAGTCTATACTAACAAGCCACCACGGCACTGGGGCTTAAACAGCTCTCGGGCCAGGAGGACCCGGACTTGGAGACAGCGCTACAGCCCATCAGGGCAGAAGCCATCTGGGTTGTCTCTGCCCATCTCGATGCTGACTCCCCTCCTCCCCTGGGGGCAGGCGCGGCCTGGGCTTACACGCACTCAGGACAGGACAGAGTGTTCTGGAAGGACATCCAGAGCCAGAAATGACAGCGCGGTGCGTGCGCACGTGTGCGTGCATGCACAAAACACACACACACACACACACACACACACACACACACACACACTGAGCCTAGTGACGTGAGCAAAGGATGGATCACAAGAAAGAAAACTCAGCAGGCAGAAGGGACAGTGACCCCAGGTTTCTACCGCCTCACTGCCCAGGCCCCGGTGCCCTTCCAGCCCACTTGTCAATGCGTGCATGCTCGAGCTGCCCTGCTGAATCCAGGCCAGAGTTCTCTGCCTTGTGGCTGAGATACTATGTCCTGGGCAGAAAGGGATATTACAATCTCAGATCTGCTACACACAACAAGATGTTGGGGCCCCTCGAGGCCTCAGTTTCCTCCTCTGTTAAATGGGCTCCTGCTGCCCTCCCCTCAGCTGGTTATAGAGATGACAAGACTTTCAGCCATAATTCTGGACCCACAAGAGTTGCTCCAATCTCATGCTACTGCCCCCCACAATGGGTGTGGGTGACATGTTCCCCGAGACACCCCAGACTTCCTCCCTGTGTCCTCTGCAGGTCTCTTTGAGCCTGGGGACATGCAGTACGAACTAAACAGGAACAACATGACTGACCCCTCGCTCTCCGAGATGGTTGAAGTGGCCATCAGGGTCCTCAAGAAGAACCCCAAAGGCTTCTTCCTACTGGTGGAAGGTAGGAGCCCAAGCCTGCAGAGGAGAAGCTTCCAGAATGCCCAAAGAGAACTACCAGTGTGTGGGGGGGGGTGAAGGGAGACATTGCCCTGGGATGATGTGGTTGCAGACTCAGTGAAGGGGTAGTGGGGAGGGCGGCCTTCCAGCCCAGCAGGCCAAGCCAGCGAGGCTTCCTGTCAGAGGAGGCTGGTGTTTCCCTTTGAGGAGTCTCTCAGGACCTGGCTGGGGTGTGGACAGGGCTGTGGGCAGCTCCGTAGGCCCCTGCCTTTGCTGGCCGTGGGAACTTGCTATGTGGGTTTCCCTGCACTGTGGCCATCGTCCCCATGCTGCCACCCACTGGCTGGGCCACCTCTGAAAAATGAGGCCAAAACTATGTCCCCAGTCCTAGAGGCATAACCAGCCTCTTTTGGGCACTTGGGGAAGGGCCTGGCCAAGAACAAATCCTCACCATGTCCATGGCCATCTTCTTTTCTGGTGGCAGAGCGGCCGAGGAAAATGTGGGACATGGGTCCTGGAACCTCCCAGAGCTCTGATAGCCCTTGACTCTTCCCCTCCCCCTCCCTCCTGTTATCCTGCTCCTGTTATCCTGCTGAGATCTGCCTGGATATACACATGGCCTGTTTGCGCGCGCGCGCGCACACACACACACACACACACACACTCCGCACATGTGCATACACACTCGGCCCCCTCTACCTTCCAGAGGCTGGTGGCTACCAGCCCAGCTCGGCTGCTTTCCTGCCAAAGCCTGGGCTTCCCACAAACACAGCGCTCTCAGCCTCCAGGAACCAGTGGTCCCCGGGCTCAGGTCCCCTGGGAGGCGCCCTCTTTGTGAACAGGGCCAGGCCAGCCCGTGAGGCCAGCCTCCAGAACCACAACAAAGGGAGACCCGCCCTGCCGCCCTGCTGCCCACCAGGCTGCTGGCTGTGAGGCCATGGCCTGTGGGGAGGGGGCAGGGCCTGGCTCAGGACCCTCTTGGAATGTCCCCCAGCCTGCCTCCTGAGGGATGAAGGGTGGGACTCTCCAAGCCCACAGGCCCCTCAGCTGCTAGGCCAAGTATAATCCTAACTGTAATCCTAGGCCTGTCATCCTAGCTACTCAGGAGGACACTGAAATCTGAGGATCACAGTTCGAAGGCAGCCCAGGCAGGAAAAGTCTGTATGACTTTTATCTCCAAATAACCCACCAGAAAAACTGGAAGTGGTGCTAGCCTTGAGTGGAAACAGCTCAGGGACAGCACCCAGGCCCCGAGTTCAAGCCCCATGACTGGAAAACAAACAAAAACAAAACCAACCCCACACTAGGCCTGCATTGGCCCCCCATCTGTAACCAGGGCTGATGAAGACCATGTACTCCTGCCCTGTTTGTTACACCCAGCACCTAGTAGGGACTCAGCTGTGTTCCCCTTCCCTTCCTCCCTTAAGTCTTAGTGACTTCTTCAATAGCTAGAGAGAGAGGAGAAAGAGGAGAGAGAGAGGCAGAGAGAGAGAGAGAGAGCACGAGCATGCACACTAGAGTAGAGGGAGGCTGAAAGATCCAGGCTCTTAGGCTGGCAGATCGCGGTAGACGCGTTACTGTGCTTGCAGCGAACTGTGTTCCCACAGCTCCCCCCGTCCTGCTGAACAATTATATAAAAATGCCTTAGGCTGTGGGGCTGCTGGCTCATACCTGTAATCCTAGCTGGGATTTTAGGATTGTGATGTGAAGCCAGCCAGGGAAGGAAAGACTTATTGCCAATTACCTACCAAAACCAGAAGTGGAGCGGTGGCTCAAGTGGTAGAGGACTAGCCTTGAGCAAAGACGCTCAGAAACAGCACCCGGTCCCTGAGTTCAAGCACCAGGGCAGGCATGCACAAACATTACAAATGTCCAAGATGTACCTGGCACAGGTTGGTGAAGGCCCCTTTCCTTCCCCCATCGAGCAAATACTCACCAGTGGCAGGGTTTTGGGGTAAACCAGCCTCCCCTTGCCCCTTATTAAAGGCCTTTGCCTTAATGTCTCAAGGAGGCAGGATTGACCATGGACACCACGAGGGCAAGGCCAAGCAGGCGCTGCATGAGGCAGTAGAGATGGACCGGGCAATCGGGCGGGCAGGCGACCTGACGTCTCTGGAAGACACGCTGACCGTTGTCACTGCTGACCATTCTCACGTCTTCACCTTTGGTGGATACACCCCCAGGGGCAACTCTATCTTTGGTAAGTGGCCCCATTGAGGGGGGAAGGCCAGCATTACATGGAAACTGAGAACAGAGCAGGGGTCAAGGCATGGATGGTGGGTAGAGAGAACAGGATGAAGGGTTGGGAAACTGGCTTCATGGCAGAGTGCTTGCCTAGCATGCATGAAGCCCTGGGTTGGATTCCTCAGTACCACGTACACAGAAAAAGCTGGAAGTAGCCCCGTGGCTCAAGAGGTAGAGTAGTGCTAGCCTTGAGCCAAAAGAAGCTCAAGGACAGTTCCTAGGCCTTGAGTTCAAGCCCCAGGACTGGCAGAGAGAGAGAGACAGAGAGGGAGGGAGAGAGACAGAGTGCACAGGATGGTATAGAATTTGCTGAGTGCAACTGACTCGATGGGTAACAGCAGCATGGAAGATGGACAGATTATAAAAGAGAGAGGACAGAAAAATACATTGAGGAAGAAAAAAATAGGATGGATCCACACATGGATGGCTAGATGCATGTGTAGACAGATGGGTGAATATGTGTTAGACAGATACATAGATGGATGGATGGATGGATGGATAGATGGATGAACAGATGGATGGACTGTCAGATGAATGGAAGGATAGATAGATGGATATATGGATGTATGGATGGATAGATGGATGGTCAGGTGGATGGATGGATATAGATAGATGAATGGATGGATAGACGGATGGATAGATGGATGGATGGATGGGTGGGTGGATGGATGGATGGACAGATGGACGGATGGATGTTGCATGGGTGTGAGCACAGAATAAACTGGAGGATAGAGGTTGAAAACGCATCAGGCTTGAAAGTCAGCTTCATAGAGGTGATTTGGTATTCATGGAGAAGCTTTGGGAAAACCAAAGCAGACTCTGATCTGGGGAATGAGACTGCCTTCAGTTCTCCACCATGGGCTCTGGGTTTCTTCCCTATACAGGGCTGGCCCCCATGGTGAGTGACACGGACAAGAAGCCCTTCACAGCCATCCTGTATGGAAACGGGCCTGGCTACAAGGTGGTGGGTGGCGAGCGAGAGAACGTCTCCATGGTGGACTATGGTAAGACACACAGACAGGACTCGGGGGGTTAAGACAGAATATAAGGATGTGGTCAGTCTGGGGTCCTGGACCAGCCCAAATTTCAGTCAGCACAACCTCAGTTTGAATTCACTTCTGTAATTTAGCAGCTCTGTGACCTTCACCTTTCTCAGCTTTAGCACCCTCCCTGAAAGGGTTGTGCCTTCTGGGGACTTTAACCTGAAGGATGAAATGAGTCTTCAGAGCCTTAGTTCAGTGCTAGGCAGGTATAAGGAATTTCGATGTCTTTCCAATCCGTTGCTTCTTTCAGTTCCCCCTTGCTGGGCATTCACTTGTTCTCGATGTCGCCCAGTAGTCCCTGGGGGGGCCTCCAATCTGTGGTACAAGGACCCCTTCCTGTTGACTGTATCCCAGATGAGGGGCTATGAGCCTAAACTTCTGTGTCAGGCAGATTTTGAGTTTGACTGTGCACTGAGGACTGAGCCTCCGTTTCTGCTTCTGGGAACCAGGCCATTGAGGCTAGCCTAGGTGGGAGGGAGACGCTGCTCCTCCAGAACCAGGGTCCTGTCAGGCTCTGAGCCATGTTGCGTTTCTGACCCATAGCTCACAACAACTACCAGGCCCAGTCTGCTGTGCCCCTGCGCCACGAGACCCACGGTGGGGAGGACGTAGCTGTCTTCGCCAAGGGCCCCATGGCACACCTGCTGCACGGCGTCCACGAGCAGAACTACATCCCCCACGTGATGGCATATGCCTCTTGCATTGGGGCCAACCTGGACCACTGTACCTGGGCTAGCGCGGCGGGCAGCCCTGCTCCCGGGCCCTTGCTGCTCCTGCTGGCGCTGCTCCTTTTCATCAGCCTGGTCTGAGGGCCCAGGGCCCGGGCATCCATGAGCCCAAGACACATGACCAGCCTCCCTACCCAGTGCTGCCCATCGCGGGCGGCCCACACCTCAAAGATGGGAGGACTAGGCCCCCATGGTCTCTGTAGCCACCAGATAGGGAGGATGGGGGGCCCAGGAACCAAAGTCTGCCGCCCGCCTTGCTCCCTTTGGACTCCATTGTGGCCCAGACCCATTCCTGGCTTCAGCCTTCGCTCCCTCCTCAACAGGGTAGGTTTCTTCGGGGGGCAGACAGAGCATAGACTACAGAAATTCTCAAAGCATCTTATTTTTCTACCAAATATACTTCTCCAGACATGGAACATTTCAGATCTGATCTTCCCATTCCACTTTCCTCCTCCTGGAACCACCTGGCCCCCATGCTTCTGCCCTGAACCCCGAGCCCCAGCCCTCTATGCAGGGAAAACTAGGTCTCTCCTCATGAGGGGAGTTGCTTGCTCGCAGCAAGGCCGCTGGGGGCCCAGGAAGCCAGCGGGAGTCTAGCTGTCCACCCGGAGTGGCCAGGCCAGGAAGCGCAGCCTGGCGGGCACATACTGCCCAGCTCTGAACACACATGCCAACTCCCGTCTGAAGAGACTCTCCTGTTTGGAATGGCAAAAAAAAAAAAAAAGCACATAAAACAACAACAACAAAAAAAATAACTCTCTCTTTTTGGTGTTGGTTAAAAGGGAACACAAAACACTTAAATAAAACTTTCCAAATATTTCTGAGGAGAGAGTTGAGTCTTTGTGGTCAGTGGGGAAGAGACTGAAATAAGCTCATAAGCTCATTTCTTTGGGGAAGAAGTGGACTGGGGACCGGGGGAGGGGCTTGGGCAGGGATGGCCAGGCCTCCTGCTGGTCACTTATTATCCAGATGGTTATGGTCAAGAGGCTTTGTGTCTCAGTATCCTGATGTATAGCATGAGAGAGAGAGCCCACTTGTAGGATAAAAACATTGTCCTGTACCCCAAACTCACATTGGAGAGGATCCCAGGGCCATACACCCCTGCTGCGTGGCACCCACAAACAACACCACATATCCTGGCCCACATTGCTGCTCACTCAACAAGCACTGAGCCCCTGATTTGCTAGCTGGACACATGGGGGGTGGTTCCAGGATGGCTTCTGGCACTGGGTACACAGAACTCCCCAAGTTTGCTTCTTGTGCCTCATTGAAAGGCCCTAAAAGGTACAGGTGGCTGAAGCCTATAATCCTAGTGACTCAGAAGGCTGAGATCTGAGGGTTGAGATTCAAAACCAGCCAGAGCAATAAGGATCGTTGAGACTTTTCTCTCCAATGAACCACAAAAGGAGCCAAAAGGGGAACTGTGGCTCAAGTAGTAGAGCTCTAGCCTTGAGCAAAAAAACAATGCTTAGGGACAGAGCTCAGGCTCTGAGTTTAAGCCCCAGGGTCGGCATAAAGAATAAAAAGTCCCTGAAAAATAATGTTTCTAACAATTCACATCGCTCATTTTTTTCCCCAATACACCAAGCTGTGACTGTGATCTGTGTGGATTCGTTTCACCAAACCTTCACTGGGAAGGACCTATTGCCCACATTCATAAATGAGGACACCAAGAGCGTGGGCAGTGACACGGTTGTCAGGTCCCAGCGGAGCAAGGATTTCACTCCAGATTTGTCATTACAAAGTTTCTGAGCTTAATGACATCCTTTGCTTGTTTATACTCCATTTCCAAACTCCTACCCGCCAGTCCTGGCCAATACTAATGACTCATGCATGGTGCATACCAATTAAACATGAACGAGGGAAGATGAGAATCCCAATGTCCAGAATGAATCCTCCAGCATATTTCTCATAGTCCTGGCAAAAAAGGGAAGCATAAGCTAAGGGCTGGGATTTAAAAAGAAAAATTCACAGGTATACATTTCAGTAGAACAGATACCCCTACCTTTAACCTGAAACTTTCTTCGTGCTAGAGTTTCTTTGTACTAGGGTTTGAACTCAGGACCTCATGCTTGTTTATCAGGAGCTCTTATCCCCTGAGCTACAGTCCACCACTCCCTTTCTATTTTCTACATGGGATCTTGCTCTATGGCCCAGTTGGTCAGGCTGTGATCCTCCTATTTGTGTTTCTCCTTGTGGCTGAGATGACAGACATATCATCATACCCAGCCGTTGGTTGAGATGGAGTCTCAAACATTTAGACCAGGCTAGCCTTGAACTATGATCCCTTGATCTCCAGGCAGCTGGGATGCCAGGCTTGAGTATGTAGCTAAGCAGGTGATCTTTAAAAAAATGTAACCCCCCCAAAAAAATGTAAACCCTATATGGTGTATCTCAGATTGGGTTTCCCCCACAGGCAGACCTCAGAGAAAGTATTAAGTAGCAGTTGTTTGTAAGAAGTACCAGTTGGGGCATGCAGGAGCAGAGGCAGAAAAGGGAGGATAATGTTCTTCATCAGGCTGCCCTCAGGTAGACATTGGGGCTCCATCATCTGGAGACTTGGGGAACGTTGTCAGAATACACTGCACAGTTAACCCCCAAGTTCAAGGTGTGGGAATGCTGGTATTTATTCCCCAACTCTCATCCCTCATTGGCTAAGGGTTGCAGGGAGAATTAACTGACCCCTCCCACCTTTCTGTTAAAGAGCTGAGGGACAGCCCAGGCCTTGTGCTGGGGTGTCATGCTGGGCTGAGTCAGTGACGAGGCCCACACTTCTGCTCTATTGATTTCTTGGTCCTATGGACCCAGACAAGGTCAATGTCCCTGACCGGCTACTTAGCACAACCGGCCTGCCTAGCACAGCATCCACCACACAGTGAGCACCAGGGACAGCATTGGGAAGGAAGAGCTGTGTCCTGCAAGAGCCAAGAAGGGTGTGTGCCTCCTGTGAGCCACACCCCTGGGCCACTCATCACCCTGCACCCTTAACTGTTGGGGGCTCTGAATCCAAGGTGAGCTGGGGGTGGGGGGGATCGAGGAGGAGGTCTCAGCTTCCACCCCACACCCATGCGTGGAGCTCGACACTGTGGATGGCGATCAGCCATTCGCATGCAGAAGGCTGCCCCTGCCCTGGAGTGTTTTAGGAGGAAGCCCAAAGATGATCAGACAGACCCTCTTCTACTCATGGAGATGGACCTGTTTGCCTCCACAGACAAGATTTATGTGTTAACAATAAGTCTAGAAACCTCAGTGCTTTCACACAGTAAGAATCCCTTCTTTGCTCCCTCTCCTCCTTTCCTTTGTTTCCTTTC